GACGGGGGCCTTCGCCGTGGTCCTCTTCTTGGCGGCCGGCTTCTTCGTGAGCGCAGACCTCGCGCCGATCTTCTTCGCAATCTTCTTCGAGATGGCGGCCTTCTTCTCCTCCTTGCGCTTCTTCTTGGCGTCGCGGCGCTTCTTTTCCTTCTGCGACTTGGCGCGGGCCTTGAGCGCGCGCTTCACGATCCGCTGCTCCTCGATGAGGAAGGCCCGCAGGATGCGGTCCCGCACCTGCTCGTGGCTCAGCACGCCGCCGTACGGGCGCGAGGTGCTCTTCTGGTGACGCGAGGCGAGGCGGGCCTCCGTGTGGCGCAGCGCCTTCGTGCCGGCGAGGCGCTTGTGGCCCAGCACCCACGGCGTGTGGGGGCCCTGCGAGCGCTTCGCCCGCTTCTGCATCACGAGGCGGTTGCCGGGGGTGCGCACGAGCTTCATGCGGTTGCCGCGCGTCGCGTAGTGCATGCGGCGGCGGTACTGCACACGGGGGCAAGCCATTTGTTCCTGGGGGTGGAAGTGTCCGTGACCTTCAGCTCCTTTTTGTACGCAGGAGAGGACGATGAAATGAGTAACAAATGAAAATTAACAGCCGCACACTTGTCAGATTCCGTTCAAACGCAAAACAGAAACCTCCAACCCCACTTCTCTCTCCCAAAAAAAAAAAATCGCTTCCATGGAATCACAGGGGAACCGCCTGGGGAACGTGGCACGCTATACAAATGTTCCTCCACTTTTTCTGTCACTGGAACGAGGCGCTGGCGGCTCCGGGCCGTGCTCCACAAAATTCGCCTCCATGTCCCGACGTCGCTGCGCCTCCCGCACCTCCATAAGGTTACCAAAGCGGTCAGTAAACAACTCCCCGCCTCCCGTAACCGCGGAGCCGACGTACATGATGGCCCAGTAGAAGAGGTGAATCAAGTCCATTTCCTCAAGTGGCGAGCGTGGGTAGCGGGTGCGGGCCTCAAGCTCCCAGTCGATCTGATGCCAACCCTTCGCCCGTGCCGCTTCAAGCAGAAGATGATAGCGTGCCGGCGCTGGCAGTGCCTCAAGGGGGTCCTCCTTCTGAAGAACCTCCATTGCAAGACGATAAATTTCACTATAGCGCATGCCAGTCACAAGCTTCTGGTAATCGTGGCGATCCTGGGGGCTCAGCAGGAGCACCGCCTTCACCTCATGATAGTACAGCAGCAATGCAAGAGACATACCGGAAAGGGCAACGATAAGAAGCGCAAAGTGAGCAAAACGACGCCACCATTTGAACTGACGCTCCGTCACGCCGCTAAAAGGCTTCCAGATCCAACCATACCACCGCGTCTTGGCGTAGCGGTTGACGATGTCGTGCTGCTGCTCTGGTGTAAACTGCAGCGTCAGACGCTCCTCACGGCTGCGGCGCTTGCCCTTTAGCATCTGCACTGCTTGAAGAAAACGACTCGTACTTCGGTCCTCTGTTGCCTCACCATTCTGCGGACGCAGAACGGAAAGAGGATTTACAGGCATGGTGCGACCGGCACGACGCCCGAAGCCGAGAAAACCACGGCGACCCTCCTCCACCTCACCGACGGGCATCCCAGAGGAATTCTCAAACACCCCGGCGCCATAGCCACGCTGCGACGGCGGCGAGGAGCGTGGTGCAGTGGAGGCGCGGGAGTCGTACGTCGACGGCTCCTTCGGCAATCGCACCCGACCCGGAGCGGAACGCTGGAACCGACGCGCCAGAGATTTCACCACAATTGGGTGAATCAAGAGGCAGGTGCCGTTGATTTGCGACAGAAATGAGCCTGTGCAAAGACGCCGTCGTCGCATTTGCGTGTCGTGATTGAAACAGAATAAATGTATCCCTGGAAATTCTTATGGATATATTGAAATTCAATGTATCATGGACCTTCTGTACTTTTCAAGCAATGAAAGAAAGAAAAAAAAAAGGATGCGGCTCTTCGTACCACACAGGTAAACAAGGGCGAATAATAAACCAGGAGGGGGACTTCATAAAATCAACTGACGTCAAAGCATTAATTAACAACAACAC